CTATTAGTGGATTTTCTTTGGCTCACTGGCATCGGGGCACGATTTGTGCCATTCATCCAGTGAGAAAAGCCAACAAGTAAACCAAAGATTCGAGAGAGAAAGAGAGGGCTGAGGCAATGGCGACTACAGCCGGAATCTGGCCAAATAAGTAAACCAAAAGTTAGAGAGAGAAAAAGAGGGCTGAGGCAATAGCGGCTACAGCCGGAAACTGGCCAAATAAATAAACCAAAGGTTAGAGCGAGAAAGAGAGGGCTGAGGCAATGGGGGCTACAGCTGATATCTAGCCAAATATTTGCCCTTTCCTTGAAGAATGACGTTACATTGGATCGATGTAGTGGTGTACAGCAACAAAAACACGCAAAAAAGAAAACACAGTGTCCAACTGTTACTGCAGCTTGAGTCTTCTCAACTCTACTGTTTCTCTCACATATGCTGGGGTTGCTTATATAGATAACGTGGTGTGCATCTACAAGAGCATGAAAGGGGCTTCTGGGGTCAACAAGTTTACAATACAAAGTGGAAGACGGGAGGACGAATCAAGAGAAGGTGACCATCAGAGAAAACCCAGCCCACTGCCGCTGAATCACGACCACCAATGACTCTTAGTGATTCCTCCCGTGTGCTCTGATACCATGTGAAATTTGTTTGAAGCTTGAATATTTCACTTACTTCATTGAACGAATACAAACAGAATAAATAGAGTTACAGAAGAGAGAATTGACTTAGTCGATCCTAGAGAAAAGGATGAAATCAAATTTGTTACAACCATTAGTTATATAAGGGATACATCCTCTGCATCTCTTTTTATGCAAAACCCGCTTTTCTCTTCATGTTTCCTTTCTTTGGACCACCCCACCTCTATTTTTCAAGACAGCTACCACCCAACCCTCTCTGCGTGCTTATCTTTCTCTCTCTCTCTTCACTGTCACGGGGCTTTGTGCTTAGTTGTGGCACTCTTAGCTGCAACGGCAGGCATCTTCTCATCATGTTGACTAACTCTCGCGACAGTACCATCATATACTATCACGGATCTGCCATTAACCACCATTGAAACAAGTGCTACGGATTCCATTGCCTCCATCAACACACCACCGCCACTATTCTCAAGCAAATTTTCACGTGTACACCGACCTTCGGAATGGCTTGCTAATTACAAGTGCTCCCATGTTGCCTCCTCACCTACGGACCATCACCCTTCATCAGCTGGTTCTGACACAGGTACCCAATATCCACTGGTTCACTATGTTTCCTACAACAAATTTTCCCCTACTCATCGAGCCTTCTTTGCTTCCATAACCTCTAATCATGAACTTAGAAGTTTTTTTACTGCCATTAAGGATGCTCATTGGAGGGATGCCATGACTGCTGAGATCAAAGCACTAGAGGAAGTCATACTTGGATTGTTACTCCCTTGCCACCGAAAAAGCATGTTATAGGGTGCAAATGGGTCTACAAAATCAAGTACAATGCTGATGGAAGTGTAGAGCGCTACAAAGCGCGACTTGTAGCTAAAGGATACACCCAAATCGAAGGCATCGATTATAACAAGACATTTGCCCCCCTAGCCAAGCTAGTCACAGTTCGATGTTTACTTGCCATTGCTGCCACAAAGGGATGACCCATTTTTCAGTTGGATGTCAATATTGCTTTCTCCATGGTGATTTAGCTGAGGAAGTATATATGCAGCTTCCCCCCGATTTTCTTGAAAGGGAGAGCATGGAGAACATCTTGTATGTCGCTTAAAGAAGTCCTTGTATGGACTCAAACAAGCATCGTGTAACTGGTTCTCTAAATTCTCTTATTCATTCTTCAAGCAGGGTTCAAATAGTCTAAGGCCGATTATACCATGTTCACACTCAAGAACAAAGACCGACTTACTGTCATTCTAGTCTACGTTGACAACATAATTCTCATTGGGAATGATTTTTCTACCATTACTTCCATCAACCAATTTTTACATCGCCAATTCAAACTCAAAGATATTGGTTTACTAAAGTATTTCTTGGGAATCGAGGTTGCTCGCTCAAACAAAGGGATCTTCCTCTCTCAACGAAAATACACATTGGATATTTTGGAAGAAACTGGATTACTTGGTGCCAAACCCGTCTCATTTCCCATGGAACAGACCCTCAAACTAAGAGCTGATGATGGCACTTTACTCTCTGATCCTGGACCTTATCGACGCTTTGTTGGTCTTCTTATTTATTTAACCATTACTAAACCAGAAATTACTTTTTAGGTCAATATGCTGAGTCAATTCATGCAAATGCCTCGCCATCCTCACATGGATGCAGCCATGTGCATTCTTCGGTACCTCAAGTCTAGCCTAGGTAAAGGAATATTGATGCCTTCCTCCAATACGTTGTAGCTCTCTGGCTACTTTGATTCTGATTGGGCTAGCTGTCCCACTACCCACCACTCTATCACAGTATATTGTACCTTTCTTGGAAACAGCCCCATATCTTGGCGAAAAAAAATGCAGTCCACTGCTGAGGTAGAATATCGAGCCATAGCAACAACTACATGCGAGCTAGTTTGGCTTAAATACCTTCTTCACGACTTGAGCATTACCCACTCACAGCCCATGCTACTATACTGCGATAATCAGGCTGCATTACACATAGCATCCAATTTCGTCTTCCATGAGCGCAAAAAGCATATCGAATTGGATTGTTATGTTGTTCGTAAAAGGTTGCAAGCTGGGGTTATTCGCACTCAGTACCTCCGAACTAATAACCAGAGGGCCGATGTATTCACCAAACCGCTTGGCAAAGAGCAGTTCACTTACCTACAATACAAGTTGGGTGTTATCGATCTACACACATGAACTCGAGGGGGAATATTACGATTTGAATTATGAAATCCTCATTTGAATTTTGAATTCCTCATTTGGTTGTAACAATTTTGATTTCATCCTTCTCTCTAGGATCGACTAAGCCAATGATTGTAACAAATTTGATTTCATCCTTTTCTCTATGATCGACTAAGTCAATCATCTCTTTTGTAACTCTATTTATTCTGTTTGTATTCGTTCAATGAAGTAAGTGAAATATTCAAGCTTCAACCAAATTTCACATTTTTATTCTCCCTAAGTAATATAGAGTAACTAATGGTGCATCGCAACGCACGATGGTGCAATCTAAATGAAAAGTCATTTTTATGACATTAAACTTTAATAAAAATATTTCTAACACTTCATTATTTCTAAAGTTAGTAAATGTTTACTGAACAAATTGTTTGCTTACTTGCTATGTTGGTTATTTTTTGCCTATTTTTATATATTTAAATTTAGTTTTTAAGTTTTATTGGATATATTGAAAAATACTATTCAGGAGAATAAATTAGAGAATGAGTATTGGATTCTCTCAATGAATTGACTTCATTTCCCCTTCATTTCTTATAAAATATTTTCCTCTCTCTATATTCTATCTATCAACCATCAATTTAAGATGAGAAACATGTATTCCTATGAATTATCTCATAACAATAATAATTATCTAAACATAATAAATGAGTTTGTAAGTAGTGATAAAAAGGGCAAGAGATAAACCCAAAAGGACATGGTTGTAAGTAAAGAGAAAAGATATGAGGGCTTATGGCGTTATTAAGGGTATAATTTTTAATAGAAAAAAATGACAGATCAGGATTGTGTAGCCAACCTCAATTAATTGAAAAAAGGCGGTTACTTCTTATTTTTTATTTATTGTTATTCTTTCACTTTCATCGAGTTTTAGTTCCTTTATGACATGGAAATATTTTGTTGATATAAATTCTAATTTATGATAGTCTACGATTCCTACTTTCGCAAGTTGATTGTTAAATGGAGTTCAGATTAAGAAACCTTAATTAGAGAAGTAATTTAAATGATTGACAAGATTGGAAGTCCTATTTCAGCAAACAATTTTATTTTAGAGTTTAAAGCGAGAAATTCTTGGTTCCATAAGAGAGAGAGAGAGTTTCATCAAATTGGCGGAAACAATTAATTAATGAGAGAATATTAATGGGATCAATTTTACTGGGTGGAATCAAACTGTGGAAGTAACAAATTTTTTTGCTAAAATTAAAGTTTGAAATATGTTGACCCTCATTTTCAGAGCTTTGATTGGGGTTGGTTAACAAGTGATCCCCTTAGCTAGGGTTGGCAAGGGACCCGGACCCAACCTGGGACCTGGCTTGGGTTTGGGTATGGGTTCAAAAATTAGAACCGGCGGGTCGGGTTCGGGTCCAAATATTTGATCTGAATACGATTACGGTCCAGACCTGAGTCCATGCCGACCCGACCCGACCCGGCCCCCCATCCAAATAGTGTTATTATTTAAATAATATATAATTTTTAAATAACATTTACATATTATAATTATATTTTTCATTATAATTTTTAAATAATAGATGTATATATTTAATGTAATATTTAAATATACTTAAATATATATTTTTCATTTTTGGGTTGGCTTCAGATGCAGTTGGGTCCGGATCTGATAACTTCGGGTTTGGGTCCAAGTCCAGCCGGACCCAGACCCGACCCATCCCATTGCCAACCCTACCTTTAGGGGCCTAGCGTACTTGCAACGCTATGGAAGAGTTTTGTGATATATCCACTCCACCACATCCCCTATTCTCCCTCACCCTCAAAATCTTGTTATTTGTTGCTTTCTCTCTCATATTCTCTTCCCATTTTCCTCCAACTTGTTTAGGAAGATTAGAAAGAAAATCCCTCAAACATGTAAGGAAAAGGTAACCCAATACCATCCATAAAGGAAAGAGAATATATAAGAAAGAATAAACGTGAAAATAGCACTCCCCTTGCCTTAAAGTTTAGACAATATGAAAATACAAATAACTTATAAAAATGAAACTTGGACTTTTATGGAAGCAAATGGATTGTGCCTTTTTTCAATTATTCCAAGCAAAAAGTTAGCAACATTCCATTTATCCCTAGTTTAGGTCTATATAAGCAATCTATTTCTCCAAACAGGCCTTGTGGATCCATGCATAAAATTCTTATACAAACACAATGTCTAATGCCATGTCGGTGAGACCTTCAACCCATTTTCTATGGTCTAATTTCATGAAATACATGAGGAAAAATACCGTAAATTTATGGTATTGCTGAAATTCTTGTATATTACAGATAGTGGTGTAAATTGATGGTATTACTGAAATTCTTGTATATTACAGATAGTGGCGTAAATTGATGGTATGGCTGAAATTCTTGTATATTAAGATAGTGGTGTAAATTGATGGTATTGCTGAAATTCTTGTATGTTACAGATAGTGGTGTAAATTGATGGTATTGCTGAAATTCTTGTATATTACAGATAGTGGAGCTCTTGGTTCACATGGATTGTATTGGGTGCGAAAAGAAGATTAGGAAAGCCATCTCTAAGTTGGAAGGTGAAAATGCCTTTCATTCTTCTTCTTCTCCTCCTCCTCCTTGTGTCCATGATGCTTCTTTTTCTTTATATTTTATGTGCAGGGGGAAGCTCGTTAATGGCATTGCCCGAGGTTTGTTTTTAAGATGCTTGCCAAGCAATTAAACGTATGCTCCATGATAGCAAAGCATGAGAAGGAGCGTACGTGCCCCACTGAGAGAGATATCAATTAAGAATGATCTTGTTCATGAATTTATGCCAATAATTGGAGTGAGTTTCAAGCACCTAGAGAGAGAGAGAACAAATAAGAATGATCATGTTCATGAATTTATGCCAACAATTGGCATTCTCTCATATATCCAAAAGGAAGGAGTTTCAGGCACCTAGAGAGAGATCAGATAAGAATGACCTTGTTCATGAATTTATTCCAACAATTCCAGCATTCTCTCATATATTCTAAAGTGGGTAGAAATTACAAAGAAGGTCGGTCAATCTATATTTTTGTTCAAAATTACCCCTCCTTCAACCCGAATTTTGATTTTTAATTTTTACTCTTTTTTTTCTTTTTTTTTTGTTTTTCATTAATAGAGCAATGCCTCAAGCTTTTAAGCACTCCCCTACTAACGAAAAAACTAAAAAAAAAAACAAAATTCAGGTTGACTAAAAGGCAATTTGAAAACAATTATAAAAATGTAGGTTGACCGATCATCTTTGTAATTTCCACATATAAGTGGAGGATTTCGTATTTTACCTACAATGTTAAGATGCGTGTGTGAATCACTCAAATATCAACTATTTTGACTCATGGTTATGTCTTTTAATGGATGTTTGAAATTAACTGAAAAACCAAATGATAAGGTTTTTTCGATAAAATTTCCTTTTTCTTTCCTATATTGGACGATGACAGGTGTTGGCAGCTATGAAATAGACATGGACAGGCAGAAGGTGACGGTGACCGGATACATCAACCAAAGGAAGGTTCTTAAAGCGGTGCGGAGAAGCGGAAAGAAGGCCGAGTTTTGGCCATATCCATATGATGGAGAATACCACCCATATACCTCCCAATACATGGAAGAATCTACATATGCTTCTACCTATAATTACTACAGACATGGTTATAACCACAGTGTGCAAGGCTACTTTCCTGATCCTGTGTTTTCATGGGTGGAAGTCGACAATGCCACCTCCGTTTTCAGTGATGAGAATGTGCATGCTTGTTCTATTATGTGAATAACGCCCTGCCCTCTATTCCCACTGTTCACGTATCAAAATATATAAATAGAGAGAGAGAGAGGAAACACTCTGCTCATATGATGGTTTCTAGAGAGAGTAGAGAAGAATGGTGCTCTATTGTAGAATATAAGTACTGATATAGCTAGAAAATGCGATTACATCTTTTGTCCAGGGGAATGTTTTCTTTTGGGGTAAGTATGTGAGAAGGGAATTTCTAGGCATATTTAGACCCTTTTACTAATCGGGAAAAAAGAGATTCTATTTTGCTAAATAAAACGACGATGATATTACATATGTTGGAATGGAATATATATATATATGGTTTAAAAAGCGGATCGGTGACTTGGATCGGGTATCTCAAAAATCGATTCGGATCAGTGAATCGGCGATTTGGATCTGGAATCGGCTGAATCGGTCGGATTAAAGCTTCAAAAAAATCCGAAAAATTTATTAAAATTCATTATAAATATTGGTTCTTAGGAATCCAATAAGAAATGAAGGCACTACATTATTAACTTTCATTTTTTTCATCAATTTGTAAATATTGAGATGCTCTTTCCCTGTATAAACTTATGTTAACTATTAAATTTGCATCATATAAAAGAAAAATCATAGAATTATCATAGATAAAATATATAATTATACATGGACTATTATAAAGAGTAGACTAATCAATGAAAGAATGGCCATTAAAATCTCGTTTTGGCGAACCCTAATCCGCTAAAAAATCCAAATTATTACAGCCTAACTAAGTATAATCCAAAATTATTAAAACCTAACTAATTATAATATTATTTGCTGAAATTTTAATTATTAGTTTACATTTTATAATTATTTTATTAGATAAATAATAACAAATTAAAATATTTTACAATATTATCTAATTTAAAATGTATTATTGACAACTGTAAGAAAAATAGTACATTACATGATTTATAATTTAAAAATTAATAAATAAAATAGAAGATTTGGTTATCAATGTAAAAATTAATAAAATGCGTACAAATTTTGGAAATAACACTTCAATTTTTCAAAAATTTATTTTTTTAGGTTTCTATAATAAATTTAGTAAAAGAGATTGTTAGTAGAAAGATGAAGATTTCAAATAGAATAAACTTTTTATGTTTTATTTTTTTATGCCTTTCATATTATTTAAAAAAATAATTATACCTCTATATATACAACAAACATTAACTGCTATACAAAAAATTAACTTTTTTATTTTTCAATTTTTTATGCTTTTTATATTATTTACAAAAATATTTATACAATATATACAACAAAAACTATACAACACAAAAAAATAACGCCTACGGGGGGACTTGACCTTGAGACATCACATATATATATATATATATATATA